GGCCAGAGAGATGTCCAAATGCCCTTGGGAAAGTCCAATTCTATTGATCAGTGTTTTTGAATACCTACTTTGGCAATATTACTGAGGGTTGTGTCGGTGGTTCAGTGGTAGAATTCTCACCTTCTATAGGTAAGACCCGGGTTTGATTCCCAGTCAATGAACCTCAGGTGCAGTTACCACCTGAGTGGAAGCTCACATGTTGCTATGATGCTGAACAGGTTTCAGTGGAGCTTCCAGACTGAGACAGACTGGGAAGAAAAGCCTGACCACCTACTTCTGAAAATCAACCAATGAAACCCTATTGGTCACAATAGTCTGATCCCAACCACAATGATGGGGATGGTGTAGGACTGGGCAGCTTTTTGTTCTGTTGTACATGGAGTCCCAAGGAGTTGACAGTCCTTATGATTTGGAGGACCAACTAGATGGCAGCTAATAACAATAAGACCAGAGAATATTCAGCCATTTGAGGTGTTTTTGAGACAGATGAAGCTGAGCCCACACGCTACCAGCTTTCAGACAAGATTACAAGGCTGACTTTCATTATTATATTTTTAAATTAACTCAGCTCCTAACTACCCTGATAAAGTCAATGTCTGTTTTAATAAATTCTAGCAAGCAAAAGGGTAATTCCAAGGCAATGTATGATTGCTTTTTTTAGAATTACACTATTAGCAGCAAAGAAGATAGAGAAGATGTTACATGTGGTAGTTTTAGAAAAACATCTAGCACAGAATCTCCTGAAATCTTCCTGTGAACAGTTACTCAAACTGGCAGATACGGGTACTTTCAGTGAGATTCCATAGCTTCTGTAGAAGCTCAGACAAAGTGCAACATGAAAAAAAGGCAATCCCATGGGTAAAAGGGCCACAGGCAAGGCCTGTCAGCACTGCTTCTGACCCAATGTAGATCCTTCATCAAAGAACTGGGAGTCAACAGAACCTTTATGAAATTCACAGATAGCACTTACTGAGGCAATGTGGACAGTGCCTGTGAGAATGGAATCATTATGTGCAAAAGGAACCAGGAGGTCAGCTAGCTTGGGCAGGAAATAAGTGTTGGCTTGCAAGTTAATGTACAGGAGGGAAATAGATCAGCAACACAAATATTTAACATGAAGAAGAAAAACTGGAAATCAATAAGACCTGAAAAGACCTAAGGGTGATCACAAATAGTGAATTGTAGGCATTTGCAGCTTAAATTGTAGGCATGGGGAAGCTTAAACACCCAGCGTGATTGGGAGCTGGGAGGCCAGAGGCACTGTTGGAGCTGCTGCTGCATTTCCCTTCTAGGAGTAGATTCAGGTCCCAGAATAAAGCAGCCTGTGCAGAACACGTGGAGAGGTCAGAAATGGACAGGTAAGATGCGAGGAATCTGTCTCCTAGAAGTAGACTCATAGCTCTAAGACATGACCTGGCCCAGCCCCTCATGGCACAGTGGAGCCCATAGGCATTGATCTGGGTCCCAGACCCTAATTCCAGCTCTGCCATTACTACGGGGGTTACTGGGATTTCCAGTTCCGAGAGCTATAAAATATCTGCTTCACACCTATATGGTCCCATGTTGGGCACATAGTGTGATGTCCTAATTCCTCCTCCCCTTGTTTCCCAGATGATACTTTCCCCAAACCCTTCTCATTTTCTGATACAGATGCTTCAGAGAATTTTTGGTAGATTTAGCCAGTACACTGAGGCCCCTGGGTGGCTCGAACAGTTTGCATTCTCCTGCTAAACCTAGGCGATAGTGGTTTGAACCCACCCTGTGATACCACTGAAGAAACGCCTGGGAAATCTGCTTGTGTAAATATTGTTGGTGTTTTGTGCCATCGAGTTGATTCTAAGTCGTAGCTACAGGACAGAGTAGAACTGCCCCATGGGCTTTTCCAGGCTGTACTGTTTATGAGAGCAGATCACCAAGACTTTCTCCTCCAGAGCCACTGTAAAGATGACAAACAAGAAAACCCTACGGAGGAGTTCTACTATGTAACACATGGGGTAGCCAGAAGTCAGAATTGGCTGTCTGAGTTTGGTTGTTGTTGCTGTGGTTTTTGTCTTTTTGCTTTTTTGGTGGGGGTTAGCCAGCATACCAATTGTGCTCAACTGTGGTATAGGGAGGCTCAGTTCATTTACAGTTATAGATGCCCAAACCCTTCACCTACAACATCCAGCTAGAGCATCTCTGGCAGCTTCTGTATCTGGGGTATGCTTGTGCCCTCTTAGGAGGTTATCCATGAGGCCATCATTAGCCCATCTAGGGTGTATATGCCCACACAGCGGGCATCCTTTCATTCCGTCTGCCCCTTTTCCCAAGACTCAGCAGCACCCCCAGCTCATGCAGCAAGGAAAGTGAGCAGCCCCAGAACAAGCTCCAAACTTCTTAACCACTCTCCACTTCCATTTGCCTTCACTTCTCCTCCATTGCTGGGCTTGTTTCTGGGGGTGAGGGAGGGACCTTCAAGCTAAGCATAGATGGGAGCAATCTATCTTTCCAATCCCTGTACCCCATGACCAAATCCTATACCCACCTCCAGATTAGAACCCTCTATGTCTTAGCAATGCAAAGATCAATTTATAGGACCTATGAAGGAACCAAACTGCTCCAATTGGAGATGAAGAGGCCAAACTAACAACATGCATATTTCAAGTGGAATCAGACTTAACACAGGGCTTCCAGAGTTATAGAAACCCCTTGGTGAGTCATCCTGTCTAAAGATCAAGAGAAAGTTATTTGATATTCTGACTAAGCGTTGTGAGGTAAAATGGATAGAGAAATGGCTGTTCATTAGAAAGTTATACCAACCAAAAGAAAACCAACCAACCAACCCACTGCCATTGAGTCAATTTCAACTCATAGCAACTCCAGAGGACAGAGCAGAACTGCTCCATACAGTTTCCAAGGCTGTAAATCTTTACAAAGCAGACTGCCACATCTTTCTCTTACAGAGTGGCTGGTGGGTTCAGACCTCCACTCTTTTGGTTAGCAGCTGAGCACTTAACCACCATGTCACCGGGGCATGTCCAGAAAGTTATAAGGATAATATAGAAACAAATATCCAGAATTATTTCTTGTCCTATTATTTTCCCCTCCTGCTGAACAAACTTGCCTAGATTGTTAAAATTATCTTCCAACTATACAAATGATAACATATAAATAGAAGTCCCTGGATGAAGAAAATCATTTGCATGAACCTACTAACCAAAAGGTTGGCGGTTTGAGCCCAGCAGAGGCACCACAGAAGGAAGGCCTGGCGATCTACTTCTGTAAAGATAACAGCCAACAAAACTCTATAGAGCTTATTTATAATCTGTAACACATCAGGTCACCGTGAGTGAGAATCAGCTTGATGGCAATGTGTTTAGTTTTTTGGTTTGTACAAGGAATGGGAGTCCCAGGGTGCTGCAAATGGTTAACAAGCACAACTGCTCACCAAAAGGTGGGCAATTCAAATCCTGCCAGGGGCATTTTGGAAGAAGGCAATCTAATTTCTAAAAATCAGCCAGTGAAAACCCTATGGAGCACAGTTCTATTCTGACACACATGGGGTCACCATAAATCAGAAATGACCCCAAATAATGGTAAAGATTTTCTTTCTAATCATGTACTTCTTCTGAAAACTCTTAAGAGATAATTTTAGGAAAATGAAAACAATATAGGATGTCCCCTGGTAATTGAGCCTCCTCTTACACATTCCTGGGTAGGCTTTCAGATAGTTACCTCTGCATTTGATTCCTCCACCCTACATTTCAGCCCCTCTGACTGCTCCGCCATAGTCCTCAAACAGGGCCTTAGGTGCCTCTGAAGAAACTAGGTTGCCCCTTTGTGACATAGCAGCAACAGGAATCCAATCAAGAGGACTCCGCCAAGGAAACAGCAGGAGGAAATCTGGGTCTTTCAAGCCTGCTGGGACTTCATTAATTCTTTGGCCTCTGCCTGAATCCCTCAAAAAATCAGGTCCATACTCCTCTTAAACCTTCTTCTGTCTTTGGTACATAAAAACCAGTTGCCATTGAGTTACTCCAACTCATGGAGACACTACATGTGTCAGAATAGAACTGTGCTCCACAGAGTTTTCAATGGCTGAATTTGGGGAAGTAAACTACCAGGTCTTTCTTCTGAGAAGCCTCTGGGTAAACTTGAACCTCCAACCTTTCGGTTAGCAGTCAAGCACTTAACCATTTTCACTACCTAGGAACTCCTCTTGATACGTTGTTGTTTGCTGTCAAATTGATTCTAGCTCATAGTTACCCTCAAGGATAGACCAGAAGTGCCCCATAGGGTTTTCCTGGGCTATAATCTTTCCAGATCAGACTGTAACATCTTTCTCCCACAGACTGGTCAGTAGGTTCAAACCGCCAGCCTTTTGGTTAGCAGTTGAATGCTTAACCATTGCATCACCAGAGCCCCTTCTCTAATACATGTTGTTGTTGTTGTTACGTGCCGTGGAGTCGGACCCGACTCATAGTGACCCCTCCTTGGGTTTCTGAGGCAGTTTCACTGCGGAAGTAGATTGCCCCATCTTACCTTCCAAGGAGTGGCTGCTGGGTTTGAACCGCCAGCCTCCTGGTTAGCAGTCAAGTGCCTTAGCCACTATGCTACAAGAGCTCCCTCTTTAATACATAGCTGGCTTTAATTCTTTTGACACCTCCAAATAACCTTAGTCTGTGTACTGGGTCTCCTCATGAATTTGTTCCAAGACTCATTCCTAATTCTGCCCCAGAAATCCAGACTGGGTCATTTCAGAGTGTCATAGAAATTTTAAAAGTGAGAACTGGAAAGTCTAACTGAATGATTTAGCCCCATCCTCTTCAGGTGGAGGCAAAACCCAAGTCTGAGAGAGGCAAAATTGCCTTCCCCAAGCACAGCTGGTCGGCAACCAACCTAAAACTAGAATCTAAGGTGCTGACTACTTCACTTGTTACTCAACATCATGCTAGAGTTTGGAAAGAGGAGGGGTAGTCTGGCTAACACAGGTAGGTTACACCTTCTGTCACACTCCCTACCTGAAGTAGAAACACATTGATTGGAATGTCTGGGTTTTCAGATCTGGTAACTCTGTTTCTTGTAAAATTTGGCCAGGAGTTCTGTGAAAAAGAGAAAATAAGACTTCTGTTTTCCAACCTCTGGGCCTCAATAGTATAACTGAAAAACGTAGGACTTTCTACTCCTTTATTCCCCCTGGGCCATCATGGACATTATGAAAATCTAAGTCTAAAAGAACGTGTGGATGATGTCTGGTAAAATGCTTTATCAGTCTCTGAACAGAAATAGGACAGATATTTTCTCTGAAGTAAAAGCCACCCAGAAGTCTTTGAACCACAGGTAGCCATCCTACATCCTTGTCTAACATTATTTCTATCTCAAGTAAAAAAGGCATACCAGCGTGAGGTGCCACGTATAGGTTTGATGCAGAAGTTGGTCATCCAAACACTGAGAACATTCCAGAGGTGACATCACAAAACACTATGGTGTTTTTCAGGGCTCATGGTTTTTCTCTGAGCATAACAAGACAGAATAAGGCATCTGAGGGCCAGGAAGAGCTTGCCTCTGGCTGTGTCCACACATCTGGCCAGGTCAGTATGACACACAATAGCCCAAACATTAACCCCTATTTGGTCATCCCCACTGCCGTTCACATCCTCACTGCCAGGCTGTGCTGAGATTCCTTCCCTCTCCAGACATGGCATCTTCTACGTGGAGCTGTATAAAGAGGCAGGAACCCAAATTGAACTCTGCCCAGACCAAGGATGAAATGTACAAACAGCATCAAGATCATAAGGCTGACATCTGGGCTTTGTCAGCCCAGCCCCTTGAGCAAACTTTCCCCACCTTTTCACCTTCAACTTATTTGTGTCTTTGTGCCTAAGGTGTTTCTTTTGTAGACAGCATGTTGTTGTTGCTAGGTGCCAACAAGTCTCTCTGATTCATAGTGACCCTATGTACAACAGAATGAAACACTGCTCAGTCCTGTGTCAGCCTCACAATCCCTGCTATACCTGAGCCCATTGTTGCAGCCACTGTGTCAATCCATCTCGTCAAGGGCCTTCCCCTTCTTCCATGACCCTCCACCCTACCAAGTATGATATCCTTCTCCAGGGAATGGTCCCTTCTGAAAACATGACCAAAGTTGGTGAGACGAAGTCTGGCCATTCTTGCTTCCAATGAGCATTCTGGCTGCACTTCTTCCAGGACAGATTTGACAGTTATTCTGGCAGTCCATGGTACTTTCAGTATTCTTTGCCAAACCACAACTCAAAAGCATCAACTCTTCTTCAGTCTTCCTTATTCATTGTCCAGCTTTCACACGCATATGAGGTAATTGAAAATACTGTGGTTTAGGTTACTTGCACCTTAATCTTCAAAGAGACACCTTTGCTCTTCAGCTCTTTAAAGAGGTCTTTTGCAGCAGATTTGCCCAGTGGAATGCATGATCTGATTTCTTGACTGCTGCTTTCATTGGTGTTGATTGTGGAACCAAGTAATATGAAATCTTTGACAACTTCAATCTTTTCTCTATTTATTGGACCGGTTGTGAGGATTTTCCTTTTCTTTATGTTGAGGTATAATCTACACTGCAGAGTGTAGTCTTTAAATCTTCATCAGTAAGTGGTTCAAGTTATCTTCACTTTCAGCAAGCAAGGTTGTGTCATCTGCATATCATAGGTTGCCAATGAGTCTTCCTCCAATCCTGATGCTGCACTCTTCCTCATATAGACCAGCTTCTCAGATTATTTGCTCAGTATACAGATTGAACAAGTATGGTGAAAGGATACAACTCTGACTCACTCCCTTCCTGATTTTAAACCATGCAGCATCCCCTTGTTCTGTTCGAATGATAGCTTTCTGGTCTATGGACAGAGGGTTTCTTATGAGCATAATTAGATGTTCTGAAATTCCCATTTGTCTCAATGTTATCCATAATATCTTATGATCCACATTATCTAATGTTTTGTGTAGTCAATAAAACACAAGTAAACATCTTTCTGGTATTCTCTGCATTCAGCCAAGATCTATCTGACATCAGCAATGATATCCCTCATTCCATGTCCTCTTCTGAATCCAGCTTGCACCTCTGGAAGTTCCCTGTCAATATATTGTTGCAACTGTTTTTAAGTTATCTTCAGCAAAATTTTACTTGCATGTGATATTATTGATATTGTCACATTCTGTTGGATCACCTGTCTTTGAAATGGATACAAATATGGATCTCTTCAAATCCGTCAGTCAAGTAGCTGTCCTCTAAATTTCTGGCATAGAGCATTAAGTGTCTCCATCACTGTATCTGTTTGTTGAAACATCTCAATGGGTATTCCATCATTTCCTGGAGGCTTGTTCTTTGTCAATTCCTTTAGTGCAACTTCAACTTCTTCCTTCAATACCATTGGTTCTTGATCATATGCCACCTCCTGAAATGGATGAACATCGACCAATTCTTTTTGGTATAATGACTTGTATTCCTTCCACCTTCGTTTGATGTTGCCTATATCATTCAATATTTTGCCCATAGAATCTTGCAATATTGCAATTCAAGGCTTAAATTATTTCCTCAGTTCTTTCAGCTTGAGAATGCTGAGCATGATCTTCCCTTTTGGTTTTCTAACTCCAGGTCATTGCACATTTCATTATAAAAATTGGCTTTGTCTTCTCAAGCTGCTCTTTGAAATCTTCTGTTCAGCTCTTTTGTCTTGTCATTTCTTCCATTTGCTTTAGCTACTCTCCTTTCAAAGGCAAGTTTCAGAGTCTCTTCTGACATCCATTTTGGTCTTTTCTTCCTTTCCTGTCTTTTAAATGACCTTTTGCTTTCTTCAGAGATGATGTTCTTGATGTCATCCCACAATTCCTCTGGTTTTTAGTCATTGGTGTTCAATGAATCAAATTTAGTCTTTAGATAGTCTCTAAATTCAGGAGAGATATATTCAAGGTCATATTTTGGCTCTCATGGACTTGTTTTAATTGTCTTCAGCTTCAGATTGAACTTGTATATGAGTAGTTGATGGCCTGTTCCACAATCAGTCTTGTTTTGGCTGAAGATATTGAGCTTCTCCACCGCCTCTTGCCACAGATGTAGTCAATCTGATTCCTGTGTGCTCCATCTGGTGAAGTCCACATATATAGCTGCCATTTGTGTTATTGCAAAAAAGTATTTGCAATGAATAAGTCGTTGGTCTTACAAAATTCTATCATGTGATCTCCAGTGTTATTTCTATCACCAAGGCCAAATTTTCCAACTACTGGTGATTTTTCTTTGTTTCAAATTTTTGCATTCCAGTCACCAGTGATAAGCAGCACATCTTGATTGCATGTTTGGTCAATTTCAGACTGGAGAAGTTGGTAAAAATCTTCAATTTCCTTATCTTTGGCTTTGGTGGGTGGTGTGTAAATTTGAATAATAGTCATATTAACTGGTCTTCCTTGTAGGCGTATGGATATTATCCTATCATTCACAACATTATACTTCAGGTTAGATCTTGAAACATTCTTTGTGATGATAAATGCTACCCATTCCTCTTCAATTTGTCATTCCTGGCATAGTAGATCATATGGTTGTCTGATTCAAGATGGCTGAAACTGGTCCATTTCAGCTCACTAATGCCTAGGGAGCTCTGGTGGCATAGTGTGTAAGGCATTTGACTGCTAACCAGAAGGCTGCCAGTTCAAACTCACCAGCCACTCCTCAGAAGGAAAGTTGGGTAATCTACTTCCGTAGTGATACTGCCTCAGAAACCTAAGGAGTGGTCGCTATGAGTCAGATCTGACTTGACGGCAGTGAATTTGGTTTGGTTTAATGCCTAGGATATCAATCTTTATGCATTCCATTTTATTTTTGACAACTTCTAGTTTTCCTAGATTCATACTTCATACATTTTGTGTTCTGATTATTAATGGATGCTTCCAGCTGTTTCTCCTCAGTTTGATTCATGCCATGCCAGCAAATGGGGCTCCCGAAAGCTTAACTTTATCCATATCATTAAGATCAGTTCTACTCTGATGAGGCAGCTCTTTCCCAGTTGTATTTTGAGTGGCTTCCAAGTTGAGGGTCTCATCTTCCATTACTGTATTGGACAGTGTTTCAGGGCTATTCATAAAATTGTCTAGTAACATATCAGACAGTGTTTCACTGCTAAACATAAGGTTTTCCCTGTTGAATTCTTGAGAAATGGATGACCTCTTCCTTCTTCCTAGTCTGTCTAAGTCCGGAAACACCACTGAAACCTGTCTACCATGGGTAACCCTGCTGGCATTTGAAACACTGGTGGTACAGCCTCCAGCCTCACAGCAACACCAAGGCACCACAGTACAACAAACTGACAGACAAGTTCGTCTCCCTTAGCTGTTCCAAACCTCTCCACTCACTTCCTGGCTTTGCTCTATCTGTATCCAGCCATCAGCCCTGGCTTCCCACTTCCTGCATGTGGTGGGGGCTCTCCCTCCCCTTACCTGGACCTGGCTTTGGCCCTGGCTTCCCATTTCCTGCCTGTGGTGGGGGCTTTCCCACCACTTAATTGGATCTGGAAGGGGGAAGAGAGTTGTTAAATTATGGGGATTGCAGTCAATTTCATGAAACAAAATGTGTATGAACAGCTGCGTGGAAAATGAATCTGCTCTGTAAATTTTCACCCAAATCAAAATTAAATATATATATACATACATACATACATATATATATATATATATATATATATCCAAAAAACAAACTCATTGCCATCAAGTCGATTCTGATTCATAGCAACCCCCATTGGGTTTCTGAGGTGGTAAATCTTTAAGGAAGTAAATTGCCCCATCTTCCTTCCATGGAGCAGCTAGTGGGTTGGAATAGCCAACCTCCTGGTTAGTAGTCAAATGCCTTAGGCACTGCACCACCAGAGCTCCATATATATACTTACAATGCTCAGGAAAAAAAAAAGGAAATTTGCAGCTCAATGTGGAAAGATTATGGGCATGGGCATCAGTAGACCACTGTGCAAATCTGGGGTGCCATAAATAGCTACTTTCTATGTGGCATGGGAAAGTCATCCAACCTCTCAAAAGTTCAGTTTTCTCATCTTCAAAATGGGGAAATGATGTCTAATTTGAGATAGCATAAGCAGCTCTAATGGTGCTGTGCTTAAGATATTAGGCTGCTGTGTTAACTATGTTTGTGTGTCAACTTGGCTGGGCCTGTTTGAGTAGCTGTTGGTAGTTATTCCCCATGATGAGACTGGCAATCAACTCCATGGTGGGATCTACCACAAGCAGTTGACTAGCTGCCTTTGGGTATGGGGTCTGCTTCCCATATATAAGCAGCAGCTTTGGGAATGGACTCGAGAGTATGGCACACTTGAACCCTGCATGCAGCCTTGGCACTGCTCAGCAGCTTGCTATGCTCTGCCGACCTTGGGACTTACAATGGACTTAAGTTAATGACTTGCCGTGTGGTTTGGTAACATCGGGACTGTGCCTTATTACTTGTCAAC